TCTTCAATATTCATTTTTTCAGTTGATTCTCTATGATTCAATTCTTCAAAAAACAACTGTCATTTATGAATGTGGGATACTGTGCTTCTGTACCCATGATTTGAAAAGCCAGGAATGACCCCATATTGCTGCAAAATATAATGCCCATGTTGCCAGCAGGAAAAAGGATGTCAAGCTTTGCATAGCAAAGGGAAGCCTGAATGTTGACAGCACCAATAGCAGCAGTCAAGATAGTCTACAGCAGACGTCCCTCACCCCTGGTCTGCTACCCAGTGCCGGTCCGTGGCCTGAGATGGACTGGCCCATGGAGACTGACTTCTCGCTCCAGTCCCCCCAGCACAACCGCAGTCAAGATGGTCTACAGCAGAGGTCCCTCACTCCCAGTCTGCTGCCCAGTGCTGGTCCGTGGCCTGAGCTGGACTAGCCCGCGGAGACAGACCTCCCGCCCCAGCCCACCCGGCACACACGCACCCCGCACAGCTGATTTGTGCATGTGCGTGCGCTCCAGCGTGCCCATGCTAGCACCACACCACTGTTTGCGCATGTGCATGGGTGCCCGTACTGATTTGTGCATGTGCGTGTGCTCCAGTGCGCCCATGCTAGCACCGTACCACTGTTTGCGCATGTGCACGAGTGCCCGTACAAGTGCTGCACCGCTGTTTGCACATGCACACAAGTGCGGGGTGCCCTGCCTTCCCCAGCCGGTCTGCGGGGTGAAAAAGGTTGGAGACCCCTGGTCTACAGGATACCCTCTTGTGCTTATTACTATTCATATTTGTTGAAAAACAGCCCTGAGAATTGCTTTGTGTTTGGATGCAAAGTGGTTAAATGATGAAAAAAAGGAGTCTGCTTCTGGGATTTTCCCTTGCGTGGTGCTGGGAGACTCAAGTTCAACACCTTGACCATTTGCCTGTGAGTTCCATGATTCTTCATAATATTTCACATACACATGAAAAACCTGGATTCTCAAACGTGGCAGAATAGATCACTGTATGAATGATGAAAATTGCACACAGTGACAACACTACATCAGCAGCCTGTCACAACTCTGCATTGTGGCTAATAAACAAATGTATCTTATTCACTATACAAGAGTAAAGGAAATGTAAGATGCTCTGTTTGTTTCATAAAGTTAATCTTTTTAAATAGGTTTTGTATACTTACATCTTTATAATTATGTATAATATTAGGACCAGCAGATTTATGTATACTCATGCAACTGATATACTGATACCGGTCTGATGTTTTCCAATGCTGACTCCTGTGTAGCCAAATTTTTGCAAGGGAAGGTATGGACTGGGGAGAGAAGTTAGGGCAGGTAATCCTGAGGCTTGCCACAGTATAAAACATCTTTAGGGGGAGAGAAGCAATGGGGTGGAGGTATGAGAAAATAGCCCAATAGGGGTGGAGCAAGGTCAAAGGACATCTACATGGGTCATTTCCTCTGCAGTTTCCATTGGATTTTACATCAAGGAAATTGAATCTAAAATTAGTGACTACATGATGCAAAGCTAACTTGGGAGGGGGGAGCCCAGTGGGGAACTGTGTCTTTTTAGTGGGGGAATCATCATTTTTTAGTTCAGGCATCAGATATGGTGCAACTTGCCTCCATTTGCTGGTATCATTTTTTCCTACTTTCTACTCTGTGTAAATCGCCTGATCCAACTCAAAGGCACATGCATGGAGCACTTCAACTGAGCGCTCCTTGTTTCTTCTTCTTTTTAAAAAGGTTTTTAAGCCAGCGCTGGAACAGCATATTGGTAAATTACTTAGGAAAAGTTTTAAAAGTTGGAAATTGCCAATTAGCACCTTGTCAAATCAAAGGTTGGGGTGGTGGTTAGTCCACTATCAAAGTGAGAAGCGTTTGCTTCATGAGAAATTTGTCTCTATCTTTCATGAAAAACTTGCAGTCATTGACTACAGCAATTTCACCCACAGAAACTGGCAGCAACTTGTAGCAGGGAACTCTGGATCACAGTGGATCTAAGAGTGTTTCTCTTGTTATATATTTGCAACATCAGAGGGTACAGAATGGAGAACAAATCTATGTGTTATTGGGAGAAACTGAACCGAGAGAAGCCATAATAAAAGCATTCTAGGCTTCTATCTTGTGCACTTGGATATTATAATTTGCATGTTTGAGTGTGTTAAAAAGAAAATAAAAACAACATAGGAAATTTCAAGTTGTCAAAATCCATTCGACTTGAAGAAGAGACTAAATTTTGATGTGATCAACTGGAATGGAAAAATCCCAGGTGTCTGGCCTACCCAGTCACACAGAAAATTGATGCTGAGGCATGAGAATCTGAAGCATTTTTTTCACTTCCAGCCGGGAGATCTTAATACTTCCAAGTTTATTAAAACCAAGTTTATTATAATTTTTGCCAATTAGATTCAACTGTACCTACATTTTATTTTTTTGGAAAAGCTTGCCATTTTTAGTATAAGAAAACCCATACTTTAACGCATAAAAGGCATTTATTACAATGTCTTTTTCATCATTTAGGGATAAGGCTATATATATATATAAAAAATCCATAATCACACTTTTACGAAAGATCCAGATTTAAACAAGACATTGACACTGATTGCAGCTGAGCTCCCTCAGACTCAAATGTCTGGTTATTTTTCTTCATAAAAGAAAAGCTGATGTAGTTCCATTCTAAAATGCAAAATGCCCACTAGTTTTGGATAAAAACCAACTCTATTAATAATTCTTCCTCATTAACTTTGGTATAAGAAGGGAATGTGAATAAATTTGTGCAGATCACCTACCAACCTGCTTTTTAACAGTAGCCCTTTTGGTTAAACAGAGGGAAAACCCTCATTCGCAACAAAACCTTTAGGCTGCAACATGAGCCATGTTTACTTGGAAAGCAGGATCCATTGAAAGGAAGGAAACTTACTTCCTAGTCAGATATGTTTATTTGGGACAGCAGTGTAATTGATTAATCAGCCAGACAGAATTAATTAAAGAACAGAGCCCCGTTTTACTCATAGAAGAGCATTAGCATTTTAACTCTGTTTCGATCATCACACACATTATGAAAAGAAGAAGAGGAGGACAAATCTCAGGTGTCTGTTCCATGTAAACAAGAGATTTTGCAGAGAATTAAAGGTACAGCATATCATCACTTTTGGATTTAATGTCAGCAATCATGGAATGCTACAGTTGCAACCCCCTCCTTTTATTTATGTGGATATAATTATAGTCTGTGACACTTCCGTAGAATCAGAGATGACAGAAACAAAGATCAATTCTGATGGTCAAACTGGTACCAGATGTCAATGACAAAGGTTTCAGAAATTGCCACCAGTTTTTATTCTGTCCGTCACAGGCCAACACTACCACTCTGTTAACCTTGCTGTAACCTGCCATTAAATTTATCCTCACAGCTTCCAACTAAGAGAACCACACTTTTTCTTCTTACCGAGTCCAACTGTTTCAAGTTTCAACATTCCACCTCCTTCTGTTAGTGAGCTGCAGGGAATATACTAATTTCAGCTGTCCAGCCGTCCACTTGGTTCACCCAGTTTTGCACCAAGCTTTGCTTCCCTCTTTGACTTTTCTTTTAATTTTTTTTTACCTTTACATTTTAACAGGGCAATCCCACACATTTTTCCAGGAGACATGCCCACTGAGATCAATGAGACATGCATCTATGTAAGTGTGTGAGCAGCTCTGCAGTCCCAATGCACTTCTCTACCAGTCCACTGAATTCTACATCTTCTTGCTCCATTGTTCTTCAGGGAAAACACTGGCATCTCAGCTTTTTGCTTGATCACCCCTTGATATATTTCTTCTACCTCCGCTCCTCTCCTTTGTCACCTCACCTTTTCAGTTTTACAAGTGCAACCACCTTATTCTCTTTTTCCTTAAAAACCTGGTGTCACTAGTTTCTACTTTCATGTTGTCCCCCTCAGAAAAACACCGCCGGGGGGGGAGGGGAGAATGCATTACCAAAGGGGTGGAGGAACCATAGAGGACAGTGCTTTCCATAAAATCTGCACAGGATCATTTATACATAAAGGTACAAATTTAAAAATAATCACCATTGGGGAAGCCCGTAACCAGGTAGACCCCTGCTTCCATAGCCAGCTATCCAGCTGCCAGTGATTGATGGCCAGTTTTAAATGTCTTGTTCTCACATGGTTCTTCTTCAAACCAAAGTTGGGGTGTGCACCCCCTCAAGCTGCAGCTTCAGTAGAGGAACCAGCTCTCTAAAGTAGGGCCCGTGACTACCCTAATCTAAGGTACGCTTTCTACACCCAAGTTCCAAAACATCCAGGGCACCATAAAATAGGGCTAGGAAATAGCCAGCCAGAAGGTGTTGGACTCCAGTTCCCATTAGCCCCTAACAACCCAGACACTATTGAAGGATGATGGAAGTGGGAACTCAGCAGCGTCTGGAAGGCCAGATGACTCCTTCCATCCCTATTCCAAATAGTCATCTCCTTGCATTTTGCAGGGCTGTGATACCCTGGCAAAGACTTTAGGAAGCAAACAGGAGAAGACTCGAGAGTTGACTGAAAAGTGGTTTCTTTCCCGCTGCCGGGACAACTCATCCCACCCACGGCTCCCGGAATCTCAAGTCCATTCATAAATCTCATCTCGGTAAACCACTTCGCAGACCGCTCTTAGGGCTGCGGAGCCGGATAGGAAAAATATTTTATGGGGGGGCGGGGGGACCGCTTATCGCCATCATCAGAAGGCTTGCTCGAGGCACCAACGCATACCCCACGTCGGATTTACACGTCGATGTGAATTCCGCTGAACAGAGACGGGTTTGAAGCCCGGCTTCCTCGGCGCTCGCGACCCTGAGCTTACCGAAATTACGATAATAATAACAACAACAGCAGCAGCAACAGAGGTTGCGAAGAGAGCCTGAGGTCGTGACCCGCCGGCCTCCCTCGGAAGCCTGGTGGGGAGCGCTTCCCGGGGAGAGAAGCCCCACGCGTGGGAGCCTTCGGTCCCGCAAGCGATCCTCTCGGGCGCTTACCTCGGCTTCTGAAGGGGCTCCACCCGGGGCTTCATGGCAGATCGCGGGGAAAGGCTGGCCCCGGCACCGAGGACTGCGCCCTGCTCCTCGTCCTCGTCCTCCGCCGCCGTTCATGCTCCTTTCCCGGGTCCCTACAGCAGAAGTTTGAGGACGCGGCAGACCCGATG